GCCCCCTTCCTGCCCCCTGCGCCCGCCAATCCCCCGCGCCCGCCAAACACAGGGGCGGTGACGTGCCCGCCCGGGTCGTTCCCTCCTGTGGCCAACCAGTCAGGCACCTCGTTCAACTTTGGGGTCGGCAGCGGCCTACGTAAGCAGTCTTGTTGGGAAATATGGACCGTTGCAATGCAGCTAGCTAAGGGTTTGTCCCCTTCTCCTTTGAAAATGCACCTGTAAAGCCAAGCAACGCAGACTTGCTCTGGCAGACTGGCTGGAGTGAACTCACGATGTAGCTTTTTAATTGCGCTGAGTCACAAAACCTTTCTCACCCACGCTCTGGCAGAGGTGGACCCCTTCTCCCCCACGTACGGCTCGCTGCCCTGCTCCGTGGCTGTGACGGTGTGCGTACCCCTGCAGGGCTGCACCACTACCGCCAGCAACGTCACAGTCCTGGTGAGCAGGGCGCACGCCAACCATGGCGCTTAGAGTGAGCGACATCGGGAATTCCTGCAAGCATTGAATGCTTGTGCCAAGTTTTGGCGCCTGCAAAGCTTGCCCCCATCAGTGCCTTGAACATGGCGAGTGTCTCATCACAGTGTATCACACACCATCAGGCCACGACACTAACAAAGCGCTTGCTTTCTGCACTCGCACAGCCAACTCCCACTGCGACTTTGGCGGGTGCGCCCTTCACTGCCAAGATGCCCTATCCAAGTGTTGTCAATCTGGAAGCTACTGACACTAAGTGCAACGCGCCGCCCTGCACCTATGAGGTGGGTGGTTGCAGCGTGTTTGCTTGCGTCACTGAACCAACTCCATGGTGGTGTCGCACACTCACCTTGAGAGCGGGCAGCTGCTGGTCTCTCACCAATCCTCCTTCATCGCTGAGTGCCTGAAAAATGATCAGTCTCGCAGCCCAGGGGTACCGGAATCTGTCACAATGAATGAGTGATCTTGCCATCACAGCGTGCTGTCATTGATGCTCAGATTGCTTAGTGAGTGTTGTCCATTTCAAGATGGCAAACATTTCTGTCTTTGCATCTGAATTTGTACACCACAACAGCAACTCTGACATACACATGCCATGCACTCTACACCATGTGCGGCAACCCGGTTTCTTGTTGTCCCCCCTACCAGTGGATTACCACCCTACCGGATGGCAGCAACGTCACCCGGACTGGCGCCAAGGTTCCCTTGGGCATTGGCAAGGGCGAGGCAGTGGATCCATACAAAGCCCCCTTCACATCTTCTGACGCCAAGTGAGGCCTTTCCCAAGCAGCAAGCAGCGGGCAGCTTCCAAGGGTGCCGGCAGTTGCAATATGTATTGCCAGCCCACTGGAGGCACAGCAGTCTGCGGCATGCCAAACAGGCTTCCTCACATAGTTTTCATGCACACAGCTGTCCATCCCCTCGCTCGTGCACCCTTGGATAATAATGATGCGCCCAGAAAAAAAGTGCAGGCATGCACTTGCACGTTTCCTGGTGGGATGTTTTTCTATCACCGCTCATCCCTCCCCCCCCCTTTTGCCCTGCACGCCCGCAGCCTCACCGTCACGCTGAAAGTCACTGACTCGTCAGTGCCGCCCCAAGTCTTGACAGCCGCCACAAAGCTTTTGGGTGCGCAGCGACAAAGCATGATCGCTGCACCCACGGCATACCTGCCTGTGGTTCAGCAAAGCAGTCGTTTCCTGCTATGTGTGCAGGCCCCTGTCTGGAAGCCATACTCAACCCGCCGATCTCTCGTGCATAAGCGTGCCATGCCCTCTCTGAGCTGTTAGTCAATCTCTCCCCTGTCTCATGCTTGCAGTGCCATCCCCGCTGTCTGGGCCAAACGCGTTTAGTGGGCTGCCCCCAACTGGCTCTGCTGTGGGCGGACCGTACCCGCTGGTAAGCCGCACAGCCTGAATGCATGGCACCAGCCTTTTGCAAGATCTGGTCGACCTGGCCTGCTGCCGGCCCCTCTCGTTTGGCGTCGCTTTTGCGCTACTAAATCCCGATATGTCAGATGCACGTTCTGCTTGGTCTATGTTCCAGGATCCCTCCACCCCGTCCATCTCCCCCCTCCCAAACTTGCTGCACCTCTCTGCCATCCCAGCCGGTCAATTTGGCGGTCAACACCTCCGGCATCCCTCAAGGAGCCACCTACTCCTGTGCGTGAGCGGTGACACTTGACCTGTTGTCCGGCCAGGACTCACGCCCTGCTCAGCCAGCACCTTGTGCGCGGAGGGATTAGACACGGTTGCATTTCAGGCAATCACAAAACCGCCATGCCCTCACATTCAATTTGCCTGTCCACCTGGCCCCTGCTTGCCTCACAGGGACGCTCAAGTGCCCGCCAGGCGCGGCAGTGCCCACCGCCACCAGCAGCTCCGCCAACTTCAGCTTCGTCGTCGGCAGCGGCAAGGGTGAGCTTGGGCTGCATTGGGAGGTCCTACGGGTGCAGTGTAGGTCAGGTGTCAACAGCGCTGCTGGTCGGTTCCCCCATGGTACTCGTGTGTTCTGCTGCGCGCCGCCTGCCACACTTTCGGAATGTTATTAACACCCACTCTCTGGCACTCAAACTCTGCTTGAAATCTGCCACTGCAGCTGTGGACCCTTTTGCACCTTACGGTGAGTGCCGCCGGGGATAAGGCCCGGCTGTGCCCCTTGCTTTGGCCCCTGTTATTTCTGAGGTCGGCGCAAGTTTTCAAGTTTGCGTACCAATCTCAGCGTCATCAGCTCCATGCATGGCCTGCCTAGTCATACGCAAGTGCATTGCAGCAATTTGCCACAAGCCAGCGTTTAAACCGGTTGCCGGCCCTCGACCCTGTCTTGAGCTTCATCATTCCCCGATCCCCCAAACTCAGGCAACAAGGAGTGCGAGTTAGCCGTCACAGTCACTGCCCCCGGCAACCAGACCATGTCGGCCAGCAGTAATGTCACGTACTTGGTGAGGGCACGAACACAAGGCCGCAGGAAAGCCAGTCAGCTCGCCAAGAGCCAAGGGTGACATGTCGTGAGATGCTGAGTTCAAAAGAAGCAGCTGGCTACGATATTTTTACGAACAGCAGCATCAGCAGGACAGCTGCAACAACGTGAATGCTGGGGTGTGTATTGTCAGCCATTTTCCTTTGCCCCAAGGTGTGTAATCCTTGCTGGAGGTTTTCGATTCGCTTAAAATGCGGCTTTGCTGCGACCCCCCATCCTGCTCTGTGGCTCAGGCCCCTCCTGGTCCCTCAAGCATCGCCGGTGGGCCATTCCAGATTGGCCCCGATTACCCCGCTCAGACCACCTTGGACGCTGGTAATGCATCGTGTGCCAGCCCGCCATGCACATACCAGGTGCGCAGCGTCCCTCCAACAAACTAAGCTTGCATCTCAACATACACAAGTTTCCCGCACTGTTTGCGTCAGGTGTTTGGGGCCGCAACGCCATGCCCACATGTGGATGCCACCTCTAGCTTTCACCATCACAACATGCTTTTTACCCCTCCTGCATCGCCCTGCTGTGGCCACACAGTGGGCTATTGACTGCGCGGATGGTCGCAGCGCCAAGCTGAACGGCAACAAAGTCCCTGTGCTCATCGCCGATAGCCCTTCAGCTACCATCAACCCTTTCAAGCCTACACGCGTGGAGGAGGTCACTGAGTGAGCAAGAGAGAGGCCGCTGTGTGCCTCAGGGCTGTGTGTGCACGGGCGTCTTGGCCGACTGTACGTATGCGGCAGTGCTGACAACTGCTCAATGCTTAGTGCCAACAACAACCTGCCTTGGTTCCCCTGAAGCGCGCATCGCTCCACCTGCTGGCACGCGCAGGTGCAATGTTACGCTGACTGTCACTGACTCATCCAAGCCTCCCCAGACCACGAAGACTTCAACTACCCTTACGCGTGAGCACATTGAGGGGAGGACCAGCCAGTTGGTGGTGCAGTGGTTGGTGATGTGCTGTTCTCCACAGTCGCCCGCTGAGGAGTAGCTGGCAATCAACCAACCAGCTGGCAGCATTGTTTCAATGTCCTGACACATGCCAGCGGCTCCTGCTTACATCACATGTTGCAAAGAAGAAGCTGAGCCCGAATCAAACGCATTCACCGCACCCGCACCCCCACTTACCAGTGTACCCCTCGGGCCCGACCGTCACCCTCATCAACGCGCCCTACGCCGCGGTTGCCGGCGAGACTGTGGGGATGGCCGGAACCGCAAAGTGCACAGATGCACCCTGCACATATGCGTGGACAATCGACTGCCCTGCACAGGGGGCCCTGCTGGCTCAGTCCAAGGTTTTGCAGGGTCTTGTGGTCAATGCCAGCACTGGCGCCAACTTGGACGCCAACGGCACCAATCTCATCAACACCAACGGGTTGACGGCGGCGCTTGTGTGCTCTGTGCGGCTGCGGGCTGCAGGTAAGCAGCGCACTGCTGTTTGTGGTAGGGGTATGCATGCCTAGAGATGGTCTGAGCGATGCCAAGTGCTGCACAGCAGATATTAGCAGGGAACGCGTTGCAGAACAGGCATCATCAGACAAGCAGGACCGTATAAGGTGTGGACAAGTGATGGGGTGGCATCCCTGCTGCCGTAAAAGAGCCCCTTTAAGGAAATGCTGTCCCCTGCAACAACCTGCACTAGACTCCAAGAATGTCACCGCAAGCGCCAGGACTACCCTCACGGTGAGCCGGGCCTGTTCTTGGAAAATGGAAACAGGAACTCAGAAATTGGTCAAAGAGGGCCGTGCAACTGCAAAAGTTCCCTGTGCAATACTCCTTGGCTGCGCAGGGAGTCTTGCACAGCTCCATCTCGTTGCGTTTTGCACAGTATTGCCCCTGTCTTTTGTCGTTGCGTGACCACAATCTTGCTCGTTTCTTTGACTGCCGCCAGCAGCCTTACAATGCCCTTGGTCCAACCACTGCTGACTCCATGTGGCTGCAGGTGTACCCCTTCTCGGCCTCAAACATCACCTCATGCGGTGGGACCCCAATTGCCATCAAGGGCATCAACAACGGGGAGGTCATTCGCATGCGCCCCGCTTCGGTGGCCGTCATAAAGGCGCAGAGCAACAGCGCCAACTGCGCCGCCAAGAGGGTGCGTGCACCACAGCCACGCTGACTCAGCCCGCCAGAGCAGCGAGCGAGCCGCAAGGCAGTGGAGCGCACGCCCAAGCCCCCCCTGCCTCTGGGCTGCATACGTGAAGTCGGCCTGCTTGTTGCTTCCAGGTACTCTTGCACATCACGTAAGCATCTGCCAGTGCGCAGCTGCTCTGACAGCAACGCCTTTACGCTGGCACCCGTTGCTCTTCATCCCTCAGGCCCTCCGACGCGGCAAGAAGCAGAAGATCCAGGCCTCAGTGACCATCCCGGCTTTTGCAGACGCCACTGGCCGGATGGTGAGGCTACGCCGGAACAGCCTTGTGTGAATAATGCTCCACAAACGTGCCTTCTCCGTTTTTGCCCCTAGCTTATGTGGAGATTGTGAGCGAGTCGAGTCCCTTGGCAAGCTTTAATACTGCAAGCCCGCCCTGTTGAACGCCGCCACGTGCACCACACCTGCCAAGCCCCAACGTTTGCTTTTTCAAAACATCTTCTTGATCCCCTACAGGTGTTTCCCACAATCACGGGTATCATGGTCAATCAGGCTGAGAACGCGTGCGTGTGCCGCAAGACCCGAACGAACAACTGCACTTGCATCCCAGACGGCATCATCGCAAACGCCGGCCAGACCGCGCTCCTCATGCCGGGCGTCTCACCGTCCCCAAACACCGCCGCGGGGCGCGTGAGCGGGCGCCAGTACCTGCTGCGCTTCACGGGGCTTGTGAGGGAGACTGGCGCGAAATGCGAGGGCTTCGCGCCAGTCTGCATCTTCAAGGCCAAGCGCGTGAAGAAGGGCGTGACGCCTCCAACGTGCCAGCCATTCGGGTCGTCAGCAACCGTCAGGGACGCAACCTTGTGCAACAACGTCACTACCACGGCTTTTGCTGCACTGGACGCAGCAGACGCTGACGGCGCAGAGGTTGAGATGCTGCTGCCAGAGACCGAGGACCTCGGGGTCTGACCTGGCCACGGACACGCCACCGTCAGGTCTGTATGGCGTGGTGCTGCATCGACTAGCGCACCGCCGATGCCGTCGGCACAGCCAGAGACCGCAATGTGGTGCTCCATGCTGGCCACATCTACCAAGTGCACTCGTCACACAGCACATCAAGAGAATTAGACGCTCCTACACTTGGCTATGGTCAAACCATGACAAAGGTCTGCACCGCAGAATGGTGCAGCGGGGCGCAGGCGCCAACCCCTTTCTTGCTGCGCAAACCCAGCCGTGGCCACGCCCAGAGTCCTGCTGGAGCGAAGACAACCGCCGTTCATCTGTCCCTGGTGAAATTAACCCTGCCCAGCGCTTTAGGCGGACGGCTCGACACACCTCGCAGCAATGCTTGTCAAACCCCCCGCCACCCGTTCAAGCGTGCGGTGGCCGCGCTGGCGCCCACCTGCAGCCTGCTTGCATGGCGCAGTGATTGTCAAACCTCTGTTTAGAGCAATTGTGGTGCCCATGCACTCCTGCACAGCTTGGTGTACGCAAGTCACCACTTGTGACAGCGATTTTGAGGCCTGCAACAGCAACCTTTCTTGGGGCCAACTAAATCTACTCTGCAGCACTGCTATGTGTCGCAAGGATGCGCGCTTTGCACACCCTCGCTCTCCAAGCACACCACTGCCATCGACTCTGGCCCCTCACACCCAGCGCACCAGGCGCGGATTGCCTATCAGTCATCTGTTTTTGGAATGCCCTGCACCCGGCCAAGCTGCGCCCTCGAAGCACCGACAAGGCTCTGCAGCACCTAATTGCAGACGCTACAAACTCCCACCTTACATTGCGACCGCTGCAAGAAGGACTTCACTGCCTCAGATTGAGTTGGCTGCCTTGATGTTTCAGACAGCTACCTGGCTGTGCGGGTACTGCCTCTGTGGCCTTTGACAGGCCACAGGCAGGCTGCCAGCTGCCTTGCGATGGCTATCACTGGCAAACGTCGCCCTCTTCCTGCACGCAAGCAACGCCCTGAAACTGGCTGTAGCGCACAGGACTGTGTGTACGTCACGCATGAATGCGCAGCCACGCTGCAATCGGTGACACTTTCAACTTGCTGCTGTGAATGCATGCGCGGCGGTTGCTTTGACGAGGTTCGAGTCTGATTTTGAAGTGGGGTTGTCCACTTTTTTGGCATAACCACGACGAATGCGTGTGTGGCCCGAACCAACCAGCACCACGCGGGCTGACTGTCAACTGGCGTCTTCAGAACTCGGCTGAGCAGCCAGGCGCCATTGTGGCTGCCATGCATATGTACTGCGCGCACATCACCTTGAGGCAAGTGGGGCGCACCCCATCACATGCACTCCCGGCCTACTAGAACTGCCACATCTTTTTTGAATTACGGGCATTTCTATGTGCCCCATTTCAGGCGTGCAGGCAGCAATAGCATCGGGTGTGTCCTCGTCCCCTTACTTGCGGAGAGGCCTTCCTCGGCGGCCGGACTTGTCTGGAGACGACGTGCGTGACGTGCTTCGATGCACCTGCCACCTGCATTACTACTCGTGTGTGCTTCGCTGTGACAACACATGCATGTGGCTCCAGCCCTGCTGCGACCCACCCACAATCATATCCTTCTCGCATCAAATCTGTCTTGGAACTGGTTTGGAGACGCTCGCTTCCTGTGTAAGTATTCGCACTGCCACACCAGCGACCCAGCGACCCTTCACAGCTGCCCAGCGAAGTTGGCACGCAACAAGCAGCCATAGTCTTCTGCCAGCAAGGCATGACCTGCTAGGGCTTGTTGCACTGGGGCCTACCTATACACAACGAAGCTCCCACCACAGGTGATCAGACTGTCTGCTCCAGCTGCCGATTTGGCACGACTTGCCCCAAAGTTCTCCATACCGTGGATTTTCATTTCTGGTGTATGCACCCATTTCATTTAGGGATCCAAAACAGATGCAGCATTACAATGCATAATGGTGTCTCAGGCATCATCCTGGTGTTGCAAGTTTGCTCAGCCCGTCACTGCTGACTCACCTGTGCGGGAGGCCCTATCAGTAGCGGCAGGATGGGCAAGTGAGACTGCGGTTGTGTCAAACGCTTCTAGAGGATGATTGAACAACATGTTATCATGATTCAGGCCGCCAGGGGGTCGAGAAGGCCCGCGTAGCCGTGCTAAACGAGCAGCCCGATGGATGGCTAGTTCATGAGTGTGCCGCGTGTGTACTCATCAGTGTCCGACTAAATCTTGTGATTGTCACAGATAATCAATTATCGCCTCTTCTCCAAGCCTTGCATTCGTGCTGCTCACCAGGCCGCAGGGCAGCGTGCCACACAGTATAATCTGAAAGACCGCGAGGGCAGTCCTGCACTCAGCAGCCCCACCTCTACTCTTGTATCAAAGCATCACGTAGGTCATTGACCATATATCCTTACCAGGCAGCACCATGACAACGTACAAGATCGCTTGCATCGGGGCGGGCTACGTAGGCGGGTGAGCGGCCTTCCTGGATGTGCCGAGCTAATTTCAGATCAGTGTGGTTGATCCTGGGCTTCAGAGAATCAAACGCGACCCAGAGTGTGTGGGCACCCTCTCTGACCCGTTCGCGGCGATGCAGGCCGACTATGAGCATGATCGCCTACAAGTGCCCGGACATCGAGGTTGTTGTGCTTGATATCAATGAAGGTGCGCACTCTGCGCGCATGCGGTTGCGGCGGCGGCGGGCGCGTTCCTAATGCGCTGCTGTCAGCTGCTGCACCCAACCG